CTTCAGCATGCAGTGCTCAGGTGCCTGTACTGGCATTCCATCTGGTGAGAATTTGCAGTCCTAAATTAGATACCTGAAGTTTTCAATCCAAGATCTGAGAAAAAGAAACAAGAATTGGCCACTACAGAGGTCAAAATATTCAAAGAAACGCTGCTGATTTCCTACTTGTGAATCACCTTTCTTTCTATCTGGAATTTGGGTTTCTCATAGATTGTTTTTCTTTCAGTCATCAGTGGTTTCATCTGTTAGTTTAAGTGCCATTCACATCTGATCTAGCACTTGTGTTTGGTAAAGGCAAACCCAAAACACTGTCTGCATTGCTGATGGTACTAAAGTGGTGCAGCCATTTCTGTATATTGCAATTGTAACTGCACTGTCAAAAAGTTGAGTTTGGATTGCTTCAGCTATTCTGCGGTTTGCCTGTCTCTATGCAGGCACTCTGAACTTTAAAACATGTCGATAGGTGTTTCTAAAGTGTCTGTGTTCCTTATATTTTGGTGGTTAACAGGTTGTTACGCTAACGCTTTGGAGTGCTGTTTCTTCCGTGCACTTAGCATAACTGTATTTGGACTTGTGCGCAAAGGTCCTCCTCTGTTACTGGTTGCCTAGCTTCAGTACAACAGTGTCTGTTGATAGTGATATGTTCTGTGTCAGGAAGTAGGCAAATGGACAGTCCTTCAGATGCGATGACAGGTAGCTCTACCATATGAGTCCTCCAAAGGTGTTGCCCTAAGATCCTCCAGCAAAGGAGATCAGACACTTCAGAAAAACAGTTGTGTTTTTTTTTTTTGCTCTGAACTGTAAAGGGCAAATTCAGTGATGTTTTGGCTTACTTTGTCTTGCAGATTTGTTTTGAGGGTGGTTCTTTCATATGATTTCCACATAGCTATTACTTACATGTTTCTGACCTCAAAAAGAGAAAGTCTTTTCGACAGGAACGACTTGTCTTGGCTGGAGCTCCAAGAACAGCATTGATTATGACATTCTTTTGAACTCAGTTTGGTTTTTCCCTGCAAACTCCATCTCTCCTGTAATTCCTTCTAACTCATCTCTCCAGTCACAAAGTCAGGTTGATAGCGGGTTTGTTTTTCAGGCTGCCTTTTATTCAAGCAGTCGAAGTGTGTGAGCTCAAGCTTATGATATGTATTCCAGTCCATTGTCCTGTACAGTTGCTAGCTGTGAACATAATTTGTTCATTTAACACATGTTAATCGTGCCTCTGGTATGTACCATTGTTTGTAAAACTACAGTTGTAGTAGACCAGCATTCTGCTTATGCTGATTTCAGCCTCTGAACTTGAGGCTGCAATATTGTTAGCGTTAGCGTGTGTAGCCTCATGTGCACAAAATCCATGAAATCAACCAAATGAATTCCCTTCTTCATTGTAAGGATTCGGTAAGAATTAACATCTACTCACTCACAGTTAACCACGTCCAAATGTACACTTGTCTCTAAAACACAACAGAAGCATAAACACGTACAACCTGCTAGACTGGATCAGAGTGGAGGTTCATCTAGTCTAATCTGGTCTCTAACAGTGTGCAACACCAGATGCCTCAGAAGAATGTGCATGAGCTTCACCCTGGCAAGTGAGGCGTCATCTCGTAGTTGACAATTTTCAAGACTGAGTATGTCATGATATGCAAGATTTAATACTGCTCCGGGAGTTCTTGCTAAGGATAAATATTCTTTGTAGTAGTCCCCTGCTGTCTACTTTGCAGTCTAACATATTATTAGTCATTAGTGGGAATCGTAGAAACACGAGGTGCTGTAATGTCGGTTGAGCTGTCTGTTTATGCTGTCTCCTTCTTGAGAGGAGACATATCTTCCACTTGACGTGGCTGATGTAACACTCTGTATGATGGCTGACTAAAAATTGCTTTCCTATTGTGCATTTACCAAGCTGAATTTCACTGTGACATTGTCACATCTATTTTGCCTTGTTTAGGACCCTCTGAAGTTCCTTATCGTTTTTTAGTCCTAATTTAAACGGCTTTAGATTTTGAGCTCCTTCTGCAGTCACTCCTTGCATTGCTGCTTCTGAAAAGCTTCATCCAGGTCTAGGCAAGTGTTGCCACTGTTCTGTATCCACTACATCCCTGACATGCTTGTAGAATTCTAAAGGAAAAGTGATCCATAGGATCCTTGAAAGTATCCATCCTGCCTGGATATACTGTGTTATTTTCTTTATAGTGCTTGGGGATTCTTGCGTTTTACAGGTGCAAACATAAATCTGTGAAAGTCTTTATCATCTTTATTATCTATAAAAATAGAAGCTTAAAATGTTACATGAGCGTCTTTAGTAACTAGGTCTCTTTCTGAATGTATTCATCAAAAAATACATACATCTAAGTTTCCCTTTTATTGTGTCTACATTTCCAGGTCTGACATGGCACTTCCATGAATTAGAGGTGGATTTTCCTTTTTCATGTTAATTTATCTTTAGAGCAACAAGAAATGCTTACACTGTGCCTTTTGTTTTGTCTTTTATAGTGAGCAGTACACTCCACATTCAATACACAGCAGTGATAGATACCAAATGGTAAAGCAATGCAGCTTTGGTGTCAGAACCAAGTGATTTGAAAGTACCAACTTGGTCTATTTCTGTTTAGTTTGCTGTGTTTTGTTTTCAATCTGTAAAAGGGTAGTAATTTAATTGACTGCCTGAATCAAGGCTCTAGAAACCTAGATCAGGAGAACGGAATGGTGGGGAGAAGCATTCACAATCCTGGAGACAGATTTTAATGACTTTCAAGGTCAATTCATGGTATGAATGTGTCATATATCAGCTAGTGCTCACTTGATTTTTTTTGAGTGATCCAGAATGGAATGAGGACTGGGTCAGCCTCTTGGGCATGCTCAGATTTAAACTGCGTATTTGTAAAGAAAAATACTGATAAATAGCCATATTTTACTCCACCAAGTCCCACTGACTTCTGACTAAGGTCTGTGAAAAGATTGTAGGATTGGCAAAAGCTTTTGAAATCCTGCCTTGGGCACTTGGGCATTTTTCTCTGTAACAATCATAAGTTAAATTGAACCATTGTCTGATGTCTGACACAGAAAAAAATGTGTATTTTTTTGTACATGGCACTGGCCAGGTCTGCATTTTAACACTGAAGCTGAACTGGCTGTGGTTGCTGAGAGCAGGTGATAATGCTGACACCCTGAATACCCAGCAATCCCAAGTGTTGCAAAGTTTGGAATTTAGCAGAAGGTTTACGGCTGATTTTCCTTTCAACAGCAGGCTTCCTTTGCAAATAGTTAATTAGGATGAGGTCATCCCAAGCTTGTGTGACAAACACTGTCTGAAATAATTTCCTGGATTGTATTTAAGAAGAAATACTGAAGGAATTTGAATGGCTGGGCTGTACCGTGCGTTAAATGTAATGACAGTCTGCATTCTTGCGAGATCTAGTGAGATTTTGTAAAATGCCGTCATTACCTCAAGGCCTTTTCTGAGGCTAGTGGAGGATTGTATACCCTGACTTTCCAAGATCTTGCAAGACTTAATTGATAGGTGCAAAGCTACCTATTTCCCTCTCCTTTGCCTGGAGAAATCTGAATTCCTCTATGTGTGTGTGTGTGTGTCCTTTTCAATCTTCATTCCAGTCTCTTTGGGATGACTAGTTTTGACAAGCTTCCGTAGCCCTTGCAAGTATATGTGTGGGTGGCAAAATATTGTAATTGGTGTAATAAAATAGGAGTTTACATATTTGTTGGCTTTAAATCAAAGACATTTAAATGAGACCTCAGTTTAATCTGCGTCACAGAGTCAGTGTCCATGAAACATTCTTCCTGGGGGAAGCTGGGACTGCATTGCTGGACAGTACTAGGTGTCATCAGGAGGAAAAGGTCAAATTGTCTCTTAGGAGCATTTGGATCTTTGCTGTTTTGGCTTGTTAACTCTGCAAGAAATAAATGGACACAGTGCTGGGATTTAGATATGGGTGGCATAATGACTTCCTCATGGAGGATGGCGGTCTTCTTGAAGCAGCTTTGTGGAATGAGGTGGTGTGACTGTTAATTGTGAATTTTCGTAAATCCTTCTGATTATATTGTTGTGGGCCTTTTCTTCCCATCCTGTGGTTTCTGAGCACTTCTGGAAGTATTGCACAGTATCTGCCTTTGCAAACAGAAAAATCCATCTGTTTTTCCTGTCTGCTTTATGATAACTGCATGAAAGAAGAGAGGTAGAACTTCCTCTGACATAAGTTAGGAGGACAGATTCAATGGGTTTGTAAGATACAGATAAAGGGCCGTGTGAAGTGTGTGGCAGCAGATGTGGGCCAAGTAACAACCTTGAAGGTAGTGCCAGCAAAACCTTAGTAAATACTCCAAGGCAGTTGCTGCAGTTCCTTATGAAGAGGTTACAATTTGAGGTCCTTTGTTGCAGGCTAGTATGATAGCTCAGTCAGTTTTTCCTGCAATAAATCTTCCAAATTGACACCTTCATCTTGTCTGTCATTTGTATTTAAAATGCAATGAAACATAGCAGTCAGCTTCAGAGTTACATGGAAGTCTTGGATTAATGTTTTACTTCTAGTAATTAGATAAAATTCTAAATTTAATTCTAGAATTGAATTATGTCAGCTATTTGTTAGTACTTGGGCTATTACTGAATAAAACTTACATTTAGTGAATATAATTTACTTCTATTCAGCGAAGCTTACAAAACCAGTGTTTTTAAATGGTGCTTCTTGGAAATCTGGCTAGTATCATTGCTATAGGCTCTAATGCTAAAAAAAAATCACACTTGATCCTCTCCTTCAAGTTCAGTTATGTCATGATTTCCACTAGTAATTCTATTCATGAAGGTCCATAAAACAGGTTAGGGAATGAAAAAGATGACAGTGTCTTTATAATATAGTGTTTAGTATATTAATTCCCATTCATATTACATCACTCTACTTCGAGTAGCCTACATTTCTGTACTCCCAGTCATAATAGCATGTGAACACTGCACCAGTCTCAGAAACAAAACTGATGTACAGGCTATATCACTGAGCAGGAGCCACATCAAGCATCACAAATCCCTTAATGTCTGAAAAATGGATGCAAACGAAGTCCACCTGAAGCAGCCTGGTGCCACTCTTGTAGGGGATGATTTCAAATTGGACTGTCAAGCTCTCCATGGGGGCCATTCTTGCCACACTAAAAGAGAGAATACATTTGTAAATTCAAGCAGCTGAAAAATAATTGCTATGCATTTTTCAGAGTCCCCAAATCTGAGACAGTATGGAAAGGAAGAGTCAGAGTGAGTGGCTGCTGTGTTTGTATGGTCCTAGCACAAGTGGGCATAACCTTCCATGTTCACAGCCCCCACAATACTATCCTTGAAGGGCTGATAAAGCTGTAATGGATGCGGTGGAATAGTTACAGTTCTTAACCTGTGATAGAGAATCAGGGGTTGTATCATGAGGGAAAAATGTATCGAGTGCCTTAGGAATGATCAGAAAGGTTGTCATTATATTATGTGTATATGTATAATATATATACATTATATAGAAAGAGCTCAAATCCATTAGAATATATATATATTATATATAAAGAGCTCAAATACAACTGTATGTATTACCCGCAACACTCACGACATTTATAGTACTCTAGATATGCTCATACTGTATTTTGGTGTGGTAAATATAATTACCTCTTACATCCATAGTTAGAAATGACTCTTGGCTGTCCAACACAAGGAGACCGATAGCACCAGGAAAGTCGGGGAAGAGGGCCTCTCTGCTCTAAGGAGGTACTAAAGCTGAGCAATACTGATGCTAGTAGGGCAAGTTAAGGTTCAAGGTCAGGATCTACACCTGAATTTTGTATTTGGTGTAAATGGAGCCTCAGTGATTCATATCATTATCCATCCTTTGCTATCTTTTTTTTTTGTTTTCCTCTTACATTTTCTTGGTGCTAACTTGCCCAGCATAAGTATTTTGGAGACTTTTAAAACTGTTTTAAAAATAATAACCATAGAAGAGATGGGAGAACAATTTCTTATTGGTATGATACCAATGGACACATTTTAAAGACATTTAATTACAATATATGTCCTGGCTCTTTAGTAATTTACTATCTGAAGGAGAAAAGACATTGTCACTTGCTGTCTTATCCTTCAAAGATTGTTTGGTTTTCCTTTTGCAAACCACAAAAAGAAGGAAGTTTTAAAATTTTTTCTCTTTATATAATTCAGTCAGTAACTACAGCACTCTTGAGTTACATGCTGTCATTAAAAGGCCATAGCTGTACTCCCTGAGCATTCTGTAATTCAAAGCTTGGCAAAGGTGGTGTAAAAAACTCCCCACTAGTATATGGAGAGTACTGACATGATGGTATTTTGTCCAAGGTTGGTGCAAACAAAAGTCATTTTGTTGACAGAATCTTTTTAGAAAACCCATCTTTATTCAGGTTTCCCACCAAAGTGAACGAGTTATTAGCCAGATAGCATTTACGTACTTGATTCTGAGTTGCTCTTTGAGCAGGCCACTACCTTCTGCTCTCAGCTCACAGTCTGTCACCACTTCAGACAGTGGGTTGGTAAGTGTGACCTGCACATTCACAGCCTTGTGTACCACCGTTGGACCAAGGACCTACAGAGAGAAAACATTCTGCTCAGCCACAGCATTAGTCTCAGTTCTTTCCCATGGTTTTCTCTTTTCATTCCCATTGCAAGCCACTTACCCTTTTAGGATCTCCTGGACAGTAGGGAGCCAGGAATTAATACATGTACTTGTTTTTGGGCGTCAGAATTCAGACTTGAATTAGCCATCCAGTGTGGCTGAGAAGGAACAAACTACTGCAGAACCTACCGTTTAATCCTAACTTTTTAACTAGGTCAGTGTATGGTGTATGTATAACACGGTATATGATACTTATCGGAATGAGACCAGAATGAGAATACAAGTATTAACTTGGCGTATGTGGCTGACTACTGTAGGCAGCTTTAGTTGAATTTAGTTAGGCTAAATGAAAGGTTTTGGAATAGAAAGCGTTGGAAGTGTGAGACAGAGGTGAATTGTGGCATCTCAGGAAAAAAAGAAAAAAGAATAGAATGTCAAGTAGCAAATAAACGTATTCATTACCTTATTTTGACTGGGATAAAGTGGAATTGGTGTATCTGGTTGTTTTTGTAGGTAGTGTACTATTAATTAACATAATGGAAAAGTCCAGCACCCCGATTGCATTTCTTTATTATTGACTGTCTGTTTGTACGGAAGTTTCAATCAACAGAAACATAAACCCTTCTTGAAAATTAGTCACTGAATTGAAGTAATTTAATTCAGGTGCCTGCCCTGTGTAAGCTGACTCTGTTATTTGCATGGTACAGTAGAGAAGGCTTTTTACACAGTCTTGCTAGAATTTGGTATTCAGAAACCACCAGACCTACAAAAATCCAAACTTTTTGTTCCTGTGTGTAACCTTGCTCTTCCTGTATGCTACTGACAGAGTGGTTTGTGACAGCTAATGTAGTCTGAAGGCTCTGAAAGACTCTGTGAATTATCATACTCCCTCTGTGTTGTTTACAGTACAGTAGGCAGATAGCATTTGATCCGATGTCTGATACAACATGTGAACATGCTGAACTGTCCAAAACAAGTTAAGCTAGTTTATGTGGATGTGATGGGCCATGCAAACCCACGGCTATCCCTGGGCAGACATAGTGTGTGGTCTTCCCTGTAGACTAAGAATTGCTTTTTACCCATGGTACAACATTTGTCGAAAGTCAGTCTTAAGTGGAAAAAAAAGCCTCCAGTTCTAATTATTAGTCGTTCGGGAAGATGTTATGGAGGGCGGAAAGTGCCACTTTTCCTGGTAAAGTGAAATAACTTCCTTGAGTATTAGTAATAATGAGCCTCACAGTCCCAGCTGTTACCAGCTAGTCAACGAAGATGTCTTTGTTAAAAATCAGGCTTCCTAAATAACCTGGAAGAGAATGATCAGACTTCTGTGACAGAAGTGGAGGCCTGGATATGGACTAGATCTCTGTGTCTCTCTGTCTCCCTGGAGATAATCTTACCTTGTAACCCTTGTAACACTGAGAACTTTCATTAGTGCCATGTCAACAAGCACTAGCAAGAATACCATAGCACAGCTATGCCTTGGAAAGGTTTGCTTTTCCTTAGTGTGTTTCATTTCACTTGTGCCATATGGCCTTTTACTAGAGCAGTAAGATCAAATCACCTTCAGGCCTGATTTGACTTCCCACACTCCTTCCCGTGAGGAGTAGATGGAGTAAGGATTCTAGTGGTTTCTTCTCAACGCATCTCTCTAGGGACACAAAGGCGACTAGCTTTTACCTCGATGGTGAGAAAAGGATCCTGAAGCACAATATCCTTTTCCACTAGAAGCGAGGCTTCTTGCGTGGTTTCGCACACAGCAGTCACCAGGATCTTCCTGTCATCCTTGAGAGAGTTTTTGTACTGGGAATAGGAGATCTTGAATGAAATCTCTTTCACTGGAATGGAAATAGAAACAGAATTTCTGCCTCCTCTTTTTTCTGTGTCTACATACCAGCTATCTGTAATATAGCTATATTTTAAGGAGCAAGGATGCTTTCACCCTGGGCTGTCCATTTGTGGGCGTTGACAGCCAATAGACAGAAATGATGCTCACAGGTGACTTCTACTTACATGCACATCAAACACTAAATGAGCAGGTACAGTTTGGTAGCTGGACAGTTCTGAAGAAGGATATATGTGGCAACCCCTGCTGGTGTTTTTTTCCTTTATCTGAAGCTGGGCATTTAATGCTCCTTCCTTGCAAAGAAGGTGGAAGTGAAAAGGTGGGTTAGTTTATATGCCCTTGCTGATGCAGTTGTTCAGCATCTGCCTTAAAGAAGGTGCACAGTCAGAGTCTCTGTGCCAGTGAGGAAGGCAATAGGTCTCCGTACATTGAGAAAAAAATGTTCATCTACTCCTGGAATGGTGGAAAGAGTTATAATGTGTTGTGTATTAGATTGAGAGGGTAGTTATATTCATCTCTGCTACGTGTCTCATTTTTCAGCGGTGTCCCTATAAAGGCAGGGCAAAGGCCACTATCTGCAGGGAGTGTAGCCCTTACTGCAGTCTGTAGTTACTGTCCTACTGCTGCAAAAGATGTAGGCTTATGTTTCCCCCTTTAATGTGTCTTTATAGTTTGCTTATGGGGAGCTGGTAGCTGAGTAGTTTCCGGTGTATGTACCTTAGCAAAACAGGTCATAATGTAGAATTAATAGTGGCTGTGCTGGGCCAGACAAAAGGTCACTCAGCTCAGTATCTTTTCTGACAGTGTCCAAAAGCAAATGCTTAAGACAGGGCATATATATGTTTCTCTTCCTTTGAATAGCCTTAAGCTCCAACCATTTGCAGGTCGTGGACTTGAGCCATTCATTATTTCTTTGTAATTTTGCCACAAACCAAAGCTATGTCTTATCCTAAGCGGTAAAAAAATTAAAATTACCTTCTTCAGATCCAAGTTTAATAGACCTAGACAACTGCAAAATCTCTGCCTTTGGTTTTCTTGTGTAGAGAATGGCTGAAGCCCTCAGTTTAACCTTTATGGTCTTGAAATCTGAAATCAAGTTCCTGAGTGCCAAGGTAAAGAGGATATCCTGGCCAATTACAGGAGGTGCATCAAGGATCAGCTTCGCTGAGATACTGGGTTTTTGTGCAGGCTGTGCCATATTTTGTCTCCATGCTACTGAAGATCGTCTTCTTGGTCTTGCAATTTTGGTTCTTTTTCCGGTGCTTCTCACACCAAGCAGCTTCCGTGCTTTTTTATACACCTGCCTTTCTTTCAAGGATCCTGCTTTGAAAGATAACATGGTCAGAGATCTCATGCGTGCTGGATGTAGTGCAATGGAGCCATAATTGCTCTCAGTAAATACAGTTCAGGAAAGCTGAGGAGAGCAGAGATCCTCAAGAGGAAGAGGAGGAACTGAAGTCTATCCTAAATGCTAATTTTGACACAAAAGCAAAGAAATGTACATGGCCATGAAGTCTGGAAAGTAAAACCTGCCTGTCAGTTTTAGCTGGCTGTTCATGGCACCTTTTAGACACTGTGAGCAGTAGAAAGCTATCTCCTGGGAGAGCTCAGTTCTGCATAAGCTGGGGCAATTGCCATCTCCTCTGAAATTAAGAAGTGTGAAAAAATCTTTTGCAGAGACTTTCCCCAAATAACTCTTAGAATGGCTATTGCGATATGTCGTGACAGAAATATTCTCACTGGCTGATCAGAACAGCTTGGACAGAACATTTTACAGAAGTGGCTTTGACTTTGTGTTGAATATATTAGTGTTTCATCAAGGACCCCAAAGGCCATATTGAATCACTGTCAGCTGACAATGAGCCCTAAGACTTTGAAAATTCACAACTACTTTGCTCCAGAAGAAGTGAAGAAATTTAAGTCAGTGCTTGATCCAACAAAAGCCTAAATTCTTTTCACTTCTGACCATCAGCGGCAAGACAACTGTAATAAAGAATTTACCTTCTGGATATTTGTAATTAGCAGTGACATCCACACGGCAGTTGGTGCCCACTGCTTTGGTGCTGATAAATTTTCCAATCTTCCTAGAATCAGAATAAATTCTCTCTTTTCTTTTGTTGCTATAGTGAATCCAAGTAACATAGTCAGCATTCACTGCTGCAAATAGAAATGAGCTGTCATAATCCAGGTTCACATCCCCTTCCTTAATGGCTCTGGTGGAGGCAGGACCACACCGATATATGCCTACATTAGAGAGAGGGAGAAGTTAAATGACTGGCTATTGTGAAAGAACACAAATCCTCATGCTGGCAGCAAGAGGGAGAGGTAGTCACTCCAAAGGCACATTTGGATAAAGTGCATTGTTTCTACATCTGTGCATTAGGATAACAGCATGTCCGGAGATTCCACATGCATTTTCTACCAAAAGTTAGGAGCACAGAGGAGGTTGTAAGACTAATAAGGTGTAGGGAGAGCTAACACTCTTACGATGTGTGCTATGTGAAATATTCTGACTCTCCAAAGTTTGCAAGGCTGTGTGCTAAGCTGTCTAGTGAAAGGCGAGGAGAGGATGGGAGCTAAGTCAGAATTACAATCAGACTTATGAGATGTGAGTCAGCAATGCTATATGTGCATTGAGAAGCTAAATTTGGCAAAGTAAGTGGTGGGGAATGAGAAGCAGTTTATCTGGAGTTTGGTGGGGTTTAAATGGCCAAATAAATGAATGTTTTGATGGAGGTCATCAAACTAGGTCAATGGAGTTGTGTCTATATTAGTAAATAAAACCAGAGCCAAAGTGTGAACCCAAGTGCTGGCCATTGGTCATCCACACTGTTTGACAGAATGACAGAATGACAGACTGGTAGGGTCTGGAAGGGACCTCGGGTGATCATCTAATCCAACCCCCCTGCTAAAGCAGGTTCACCCAGAGCATGTTGCACAGGACTACATCCAGTGCTCTGTCACCCTTCACGGAAAGAAGTTTTTCCTCATGTTGAGGTGGAACTTCCTGTGCTCCAGTTTGTGCCTGTTGCCCCTTGTCCTGTCGCTGGGCACCACCAAAAAGAGCTTGGCCCCATCCTCTTGGCACCCACCCTTTAGATATTTTTAAGTGTTGGTGAGGTCCCCTCTCAGTCTTCTCTTCTTCAGGCTAAAAAGAGCTCCAGGTCTCTCAGCTTTTCCTTGCTAGCAAGCTTCTTAGTGTGTTTTCTCTCCCCATGGTCAATGAGTGATCTTTCAGAAAGTGGCTATGAAAAATTTGGGGAATGGAGCAGACCAGGGTTTGTTCCCAGCAGGCTGTGCTATTATTTTGGTCTGGGAGGAGTTGTTCAGTGCTGTGAACAAAAGCCATTCTATGTCACTTTGTTTCAGAACCAGAGAACAGTTTGGAGCTTCTTGCATTTAGCTTTGTACATATATGCCATATTGTTGCATGCCATGGGGACATCTTATGAAATATCTTCCTACCCATTCCAGTGTGTCCTGTAAAATACAGGGTAGAGTCATGGGGCATATTTTATTTTCTGTTGTAAACGCCTTGGTTCAAACCTGTGACTATAAGCTCTAAAATAATTACTTAGCATGTTACTAAAAGGGATTTCTGCTGCTGCTAAGTCTACCCAATGCAAGCCAGCAAATGTGTCTAATGCCAGCAATGTGCCCTTGCAGCAAGGAAGACCATTGCTAGCAGGTCAAGGGACATGATCCTTCTACTCAGCACTGGTGAGGCCACATCTGAGGTGCTGTGTCCAGTTCTAGGCTCCTCTTACAAGAAAGATACGGACCTATGGGAGCGAGTCCTGCAAAGGGCTACAGAAATGATTAAGGGATGAGAGCTGGGACTGTTCAACCTGGAGAAAGGAAGGCTCAGGGGAATCTTATCAGTGTATATAAATACTTGATGGGAAGGTATGAAGAGGGCAGAATCGGACTCTCCTTAGTGATATGCAGTGAAAGGACAGGTGACAGTGGGCACAAATTGAAAGAGAAAATTCCGTTTAAACATGAGAAAAAAACTTTCTATGACGGTGGTCAAACTGCAACAGTTTGCCCAGAGAGCTTGTGAAGTCTCCATCCTATGAAATACTCAAACCCCAACTGGACATGGTCCTGAGAAACCAGTTCTGATTGACCCTGTGCGGAGCAGGGGCTTGGAGTAAACAAGCTCTAAAGGTCCCTTCCAACTTCAGCTATTCTGTGTCATTTTATGAATCTCTGTAATGTTAGGAGCTATGCAAGGGTGAGATAAGTGAACTTAAGATGTACTGGCTTTTGTGGAGGCAGATGATCAAAAAAAGTAAGAATTGGCATGCTGGTAGGCAATCCAGAGGCTGACAGAAAAGGTTAACGTGGGCATTGCTTTTCTTGTGCGTCCAAATTAATGCTGCATCTACAGGGAGTAGATAGAAGAGACTTGTCCTGAAATTTCAGTAGCAATCTGTAGGAGTAACAATATCTACAGCTTTTTATATTTACAGCAGTGTTACCTTTGCTTCTTTCCTGGGGTGTTGCATCCAGAACCTGCCATCCATCATAAAAAGAGCCAAGATCTCTTCTGATGAACCAGCTTTCATTCCAGACATGGAAATTCCTGTAAGGGAGGTAGAATGGGGAATTCCTGATTTGATATATTTCTGGTGCAATGCAAGAAATAACCCCAGTCAAGTGAATGAGACCTCCTCTGTGGATAGACCAGCTGCTGACTCCTTTCTTGAGTATGTCTTTCCCCTTCTTTGCCAGCTTTCTGTGTTCAGATCTCTGAGAAATGTTGGGTTGTTGTGAAAAAAATAATGTTAAAAGGAAGATAATTAATTGCAGAGTCAAGTATTCAATTCTGGACATAACAGAACAACATACTGTACAGCCAAAGGTCTCCTGCACGCATTGCTATCTCTTAGTATTTAATTCACAGTTGCTTTCTACTTCATGTCACCCTTGTCCCATTCAGTCCTCATGGTGTAGGGTGCTTGGTGACTGAAACACTGATGCATGCAGTATGACACACATGTGCGGTGTGATAGTTTCTGTGCACTTATTTGTCAAAAGTGTAATTTTTAACAGCGTCTCTGAGGTGAAAGGAACAGCATGTTCTTCCTAAGGGATGGCATGGATTTTTTCTCAGCTGCCTTAAGCATGTTACCTTTACTTTAGTAACCTCTCAGTATTGTGCAATGGATGTATAATGCTAATCATGAAAGGCTTAGGCAGTCAACAGCCGTAGCATAGGAGCTGAGTATAAAACTTACAGGCTTCTGAGAGTGCTCTGCTCTGGGAATCAAGAGACACACTGATACCATTTTTGGCGAAGAAGTTAATCGTTCTCTAACTTTTTTTGAAGAGAGAGTTAGGGCTGTTCAGCCTTGAGAAGAGAAGGCTCTGGGGAGATCTTGTAGCGGCCTTCCAGTACTTAAAGGAGGCCACAGGGAGTGTAGTGATGCGATGAGGGGTAATGGTTTCAAACTGAAAGAGGGGAGATTTAGATTAGCTATTAGGAAGAAATTCTTTGCTGTGAGTGTGGTGAGACACTGGTACAGGTTGCCCAGTGAAGCTGTGGCTGCCCCCTCCCTGGAAGCATTCACGGCCACGCTGGATGGGGCTTTGAGCAGCCTGGTCTAGTGGAAGGTGTCGCTGCCCATGGCAGGGGGGCTGGAACTAGAGGATCTTTAAGGTCACTCCCAACCCAAACTGTTCTGTGATTCTAAGATTTTGGAAAAAAAATAAACTTTCATATAGTACAGCCAAAATTAGCAGTTATATTTTCAAATTTTGTGTTGTATAGCAATGGTACAAAATATCACCTCTGTAATTCTTCACAATGGTGACACTGACTACATAGTGCATTGCTGAACACTCTGTTGATTCTTTGGGATGGGGTTTTATATCACTGGGAGCATGAAGTTGGGGTGGTTTTTCAGGAGCATGATTTTAGATCGTTTAATTAGAGGAGAATAAAATGGAAGAAATATTAAGAAAAAAAAATATTTACCACACACTGTCTTCAGTCAAGTGCAGGGTCTTTCCAGAAATGTCAATGTAGTTATCAATACTCAGATTTATATTCCTGTCATGGGCAGAGTTGAAGTTGGTAATTACACGAGTAGGTATTCCCAAGGATCTCAGAACTGCAATATACAATACCATAGAAGTGCTGTAAACCTGGTTTACAGACATTTAGAAAGTAGTTTTCTGTTTTTCTTGGCAAAACAGTCTAGTGTATGTGTTGTCAGTGGGGAAACAAACCCTCAGAAAATGCCCTCTCAGATATGGTGCAAGTCACAGTCATTCTGCACAATTGCTTAGAAGTCAGTTCTGCTCATGTGACATTCTTAGCTGCCTTTTAGTTCTTTTAGTGTTCTTTTTAAGAAGAGTTAGTCACCCATTTATTTTAATCTTTCAGTCTTCATCCTGTTCTCTCTCCCATTTTCTCCCTGTGATTGTTTCTCTGTTACTTGCTTTTTTTTTTTCCTCTTCCTCTATGAGACAAACCTCTTGATTGCATTTTTTTCCCTAGTATTTTCCCCAGAGTGACTTGTCTCTCAGAGCAGCTCTGAATGAAAACTGCTAGGATGAAATGTGTTTCCCAATTTGCAGCTCCCTTTACAGGTCCTCAGAATGGTGATTTGTTTTCGTGTCACCAGTAGGCAAGACACAATGGTAGAAAACTGGCGTTGTGAGGAGAGACAGACTTAAAAGAGCACTGATTTTCTGTGCATCCTAGCTTTGAAACAGGAAACTTTGCTCTTTTCACCAGCCCAGCCTGGCAAACCGCTTGGCATTTTGTTTGGTGACCCACAAAACTGGGGTGCAGTATTACAACCTATGGCTGTGTAAAATAGAAGAAAATAACCTTTCATGCATGGAGAGCAAAGGTTCTTCACTCTCTCTGTCAAAGCTGAAACAGCTTCAACAGTAATGTCACAAAGTTAAAAGTACAGAAATTCTAGTAAGCTTCCTTTCTGATAGTGTTCTTCATCCCTTTGTGCGTACCTGTGCACATCACTCCTGCAAAGACCCAGCACTGGCCATACCGGACAGGTTTGTATCTCCCCCTGTACCACTTCCGAAGGATGGTCACGCTTCCACTCCACTGCAAGGGGTTGGTGCCTGAGCAGTAGTTTCCATTCCACTTCCCTTCCACTACTCCTTTTTCATCGTTGCTGTTAACCTGAAAGAGTCCTTCTCATGAGAGAATTAAAATATTTACGGAAAAATAGGGAAAGGGAAATAGGCAGAAATGACCCTGTTTGTACCGCTGTTCTCATTGGCTGAGCGGTAAGACTTAGTATTTGAATCTTAGATGGAATTTTGTCTGCTCAAGTGCAACAATTGGATCAAACCCAGATCAGATTGTAGAGTCTGATGGTTCAAAACTGCCTTACTTTTCAGTACAAGTGTTCCCAAACATGCTGACTGCCAACCTATTTAAATTTTCTGTTCCATTGATTAGTTCCACCTTCTTGTACATCATTATACTGTTACACTGTCTATTCAGTATTGGTTCACATTCTCAAGTGATTTATGTGGAAGCCTCAAGAAGTACATATTTTCTCTGTGCATTTGTTGTAAATATGCATAATACATAGAGCTTGCTCAGACTTGTCAGATGTGCTTGCATATATTTGTGCACATCCATTTTGGAGGCCTGTTTAAGTGTCATGTATGGTTGTACAGAAGACAGCAAGTTCTTTTTAAATGATTTTTTTTCTTAAGTATTTGTACTTTTAGTAATTTTGTACATCTAAGTAGAGTTATTTACTTTATGTTGAAACTGAAATTGCCTAAAGTGAGTGCTGTTTAAAAGGGTGAAAAGGATCACAGCTATAGAGGAGGCGTCTCAGATAAGGAATGTGGTAAGGCACAGATTAGTTATAAAATTGAAAACTTTTCAGTTGCCTAGTTATGCATTTATGTGTTTGTGAGGATGGGGGTGTGTTGAGAAGATATAACTATTTGTTGAAGGAAATGCATACAGGCCTCATGAAACGAATCATGCTTAGGTGAAGAGTACTAAATACACACATTAAATTCAGCCATACCAACACTGGTTTTCCAAAATATTTCATGCTTCTCTTGGTGTTTGAAAAACTTAGCAAATGATTTCAGAATGGACACAGGCTTTCCAAATTAGTGAAGAGACCTAGTGGACTGAAAATCTGTTAGGAAAGTACATCTGAGATTCAATGTTCCCCAAAAGTTCTTGGAAACATTCCTTCAGTTATGAGCAAACTTTTGGGAAGTAGATACGACTTTTAGGATATTTTTCCTTCAGAATAAAACTCCATTTTACCTCTTCTGTAGCTGTTTTTTGCACAAAAGTTAGCTACTCATATAAAACATCAGGACATTCACAATAAAGTATTGGCTGTATTGTTGGTAGGTGCATTGAACAGCAGCTGTAACTAATTGATCACTTTACCATAGCACTGACAACCCTGCTGACATAGATAGGATTGTTTCGGTTGGATACATCAACAGCTGGATCTTGGCGGTGGTTCAGGCTTCGATCCAGTATAGCCAGAGAGATATCAAGGATATCCTCTTCAAACTGAAATCAAAACAAGCAATATATTAAAGGTTAATTTAATAAATAAACCCAAGGATGAACTCCCCACCTTTTTTCCTTCTCCTAGTGCAATAGGATGATGTTGTTAATTTGGGCATTTTCTGTACTGTTAAAGAAATAGGGCCAAGAAGAAAGCATAAGCACAAGGCTGCTGACTCTCCTTGGTTTTTTAAAGACAGTGTGATTTGGGGCCATAGCTACTAGCATTGATGAAGACATTACGTGGCCTGGTGGAATGGACAAGACCACTCCAGGTCTGGCTCAGCAGGCTTTGCACCCTCCCACATCCTGTCATGCCCCTACAGATACCCTTCTGTTTTGAAAGCTTCACTCTGATGGGCTGCCTTCAGCTTATATCAGATGTTCTGAACTGAAAGAAACCCACAAAAATAATTGTTGTGGATTAGGGACACAGAGAGACTGTGTTGGGCCCAGAAAATGCCAGAGTGCTGTGCTGTATGGATGTGGTCAGGCAAGGATGCCACCTGACCTGTGAGACAGAAAGCAGATCTGGCCTTGTGATCAGGAGCATTAATAGAAATGCTGTCTGTGCAACTGCTGGTGCAGTTGTAAGGCAAGAAGCAGTCAGGTGTGGTTTTGACTGGGCCAAGAAGTTGCAGAATAGCTATGTGACTACAGAAGGGCTGTAGTTATGACTGTATTTGTAGCAGTTATGCTTAGAAAGCCAAACAGATTTTCAAAAGTTCCAGCATGTTTCAGTGGAGTAGGTTTGGGATATCCTTTTAGTGTCTTCTGCCCCATTACTGAACCAACTGTGTAAGTACTTAGATGTACTAGCCTCGCAGTACCTAGAGGTTAATAGTGGAATGGCTTCCTTTGCCCTTTACAAGGGTCAAGAGACAAGTAGAATTTCGCCAGTTTGTATAATAGGCAAAAGAAAACTAAAATTGTGCTTTGTTTCTTTTATTTCTGTATTAGCACATGCCGGACGGGGGAAACGATCCTGATGCTACTGTAATGTATTGATAAGTGAGACATATCTGCAAGAAAATCGTAAGTGAGAGAGGAATGCTGAACTCTTATATTATGTGATAATGATTCTCTCTCCTCAAGAGCCTATTTACCCACTGTTCTTATTTTCAGAGTTCTGGAATAGGTAGTGCTGTTTACCTGTCCATAGTTCCAAGCTTCTTGTTGAATATATTTTTCCAGTCCCTGAAATATGATTCCGCTGTCATTCAGGACATACTCCTGTCGCTCCTTTTCATTGGCCATATAGACATCGTCATCTAGAAGTAGAATGAGACGTGCTGGATGAAGGGAAAGTTGTTTAGTTGTAACTGAAAATCTCACTTCACAGGAGTTCTAGGGAACAGATCAGATGCCTGTGCATTTGAGCTTAGGACTCCCTGCTGTACCTCTGTAATCATTTAGACAGTGAATAAATAAGCATGAAGTTCCTTTGAGGGGAACTGACTATGCCCCTCTCCCTTTGCCAATCTCAGTTCGTGTCTTACTGGTAGATACTGCTTGGTGTACAACTGAACACAAGCATCAGAGGGAAAAAAAAAAAAAGATAATAAATGTTTGTAATATTTCATGCCTCTGATTTCTTATTCTACAAGCAAGAGGCTGGATCTTTGATTCATTGTAGCACTGAAGAAGGGGCATAAACTTGATCCTTGATGTTAAGCAAAAAAAATCTTTCAGTATCTGTGACTGTCAGGTACATGCTTTACTGTGACACACAGATTTCCTGACTGAGACAATGACTTATTTGAAGGACACGATACATTGAGACATACTTGGACACCAGGGGTTGAAGAGTAGCACAAACTGGCCCAGGAGTGTCGAAGAGACCTTGTTCCCAGAAACAATCTGGAGTTTGAGTTTATACCGTCCAATGACAGCATTGGCTGGGCTGAATATTGTGAAGTTCATGCAGCCAGGCTCACTGGGCTCTTGGGTTGCACTCCAGCCACTGGCATCCTCCTCCAAAAGGTTAAATACGGCCTTGGTCTGCTGTGATTCTGCTGGACAAGGTCCTGCCAGAGGGAACAGGGACAGCACTTCTGAATTACAGCTGCGGGTGACAAATTTTTGGGTAGTGGTGATCTCAATTCCATATTTTTTTTAATTACATTGAAAGATTGTGGCTTATCAGATCAAATGCTTATTCAATGTAAACTAGCTGCATTCCAATCCACAGAATTATACAATGCAGCCCTCTGTGTTGTGTGCATGACCCAGTAAAGATGAGTATGCCCATAATGATTCTAGACAAGTGAGGAGGCAAGCTTGTTGTCCTGAAAACGTGACAGTTCCAAAATATGTAGGCAGGATGGGCCACGCATTTTAATATACATTTCATTAAGAGTTAGTAGCTGCCTGGAGAATGTTTTAGGGAAGCGTTTTGGGCAGATAGAGATAGGAGTCTTATGAATGGGGTCATGTGGACTGTTCTAGTGACAGGGAACACATGAAGTTAATCACGGGTTAACAGGTGAAGTAGAGAGTCAGGAGAAGAAACAAATGGGGAATGATGGTCTGTGAGAGGCAGGGTTGCAAAATGTTCAGGGACCACAGAATGAAACAGCTTGCAGTATTGCAGGTAGGTCCTTAGGAGCAGAGGTAGAGGCTTGTTTTTAGAATGAGGATGGCCACTACCTTTCTATTAATTATTAGCTTAACTGTTGCCTTGAGGTATGGATTGAACTTTAAAATGGAAGCTCCTAAGCCTAAAAGCACAATGAATCCCAAGTGATATAGGACAAAGCTCAATGATTCAGGGCTGGACCACATGGAGCTGTAAGGCACTAGTGTTTCAGAGCTGGAATGACTTGGATGTGAGGTGAGTACCATGGGGAAATTACCTGTGCTTGCAATAAAGGTGAAGTTGTCCCCAGGTTGCACTGTTGTTTGGAGGTTCAGAGTGATGTTGAAGGGCTGTCCTCTCCTCAGGATTGCTTCTGTGCTGCTATAATCAGAGGTGTGGTGTGCAGCTTTATTTAGTTTGGATTGCCAATTGACGTTTGCTATTTTCAGGGCTAGAAAGACGCAATGCAAGTTAATTAAAAACATTGTTCCTTGTACATCTTTCCAGCTTGTCTAATGTAGCAATTTTATTATTTACATATAGCTGGAGTTATATGCTCTAGGAAAACAGAAAAATCCATGGTTGTTATTAATAATTGCAAAATAAACAACAAACTTAGAGGAACAGCTAAAAATATATTTTCTGCAGGCATCTTTCAGAGTCAGAAAAAAATGCCTGTTCAGAGAATTCATCTTTGATTTTTAAGAAAACCCAAACAACCCAAAATCTGTTGTATTTAAATAAGACTTAATTTGAAGAGACCATTCTGTTCCACCATGTTCCCGCTCCTTTTTGTGGGGATCTGTAGTTCCCAGAATGCTTTACAGGTGTGCAGAAAGAGGTATTAAAACTCTCATGAGCAAGTGCATGCCTCATCCTGGACAAACTGTATGACATGATGAATAGAAGGCTAGTATCTTAATTTTCAAGCTTGCACATTATCTTCTCACATATCTTGTATCTCAGTTAGTTTAAAGTCTTGTTGCTTGAAGCTGGGGGTTATTTCATACTCTGTTGGGAGAAAATGACCATCAGAGGACAGATGGTAGGATTAGGAGTGGTGTATCTTGAGGCAGTGCTTTGGGTTGCTCTATTATATCATGATAGGTTGCCACTATTGAAAATGGGACACTGAAGCATGCATTACAAAAGCTTTCAGCCTTTCTTGTTCCCTGATCAATAAAAAACCCAACAAACGAAAACAAAGCAGAAAAAATACAGATCCTTCTATGAACACATATGTTTGAGAAGTGCCCTTCCCCCATATGATATTCCAGAGGAATTTCACTTGAAATTTCCTGCAATGACTACAGCATGTTAACCCTTTGCAGACTAATTGTGCTGTAATCAACATATCTGTCATTTCACTGGACTAAGATACAGGACTTGGTTTAGCACCACCTTGAATCACTTTGAACAAGGTTCATGTCTGAGGGAATCCATAGGGTTCTACTATAGAAATAGAGAAGGTGGGATTTGAGTTTTCTGATGTGTTTGCAGCACAGAATTATATTCTGTGAAGTCTTGATGTAGTCATACTAATTTTCAGCTTTTTTGGAAGAAACATGTAGTTCTGAGGCTGCGGTAAGGGCTTGGAGGAAGTTGTTTTCCTGTAGTCTGTGTGCATAAACTTGTTGGTATTTTCAGTTAAGGGTCTTATTTGAGAAAAAAATTCCATTGATAGGAGTGTGATGTTTGAGTCACATGATGTAAAATGTCTAGGAAGTTTCTTGCTTGCATCATCACTTTATTTTCCTGACTTAAATACATTTAGTTGAAAAGGATCTACAGAAAACAGCATTTCTAACATCAAGTCCTCTAATTAGAACGTTTTTGTGTGGGACGCTTGAGCTCAGAGCTTGAAAAGAAGTTAGCCTTGCAACACTTCACCCGTGTATATCCTACCACTGTGCATTGTGAACTGCGTGAGTTAAATGTCCAGGCTCTTCAGGGTGGGGAGCGTGTGCGTCGTTAGTTGTGCACTGATGTAGATAACTAAGAGCATTTTGCATGTCTGCAAATAAAAATGTGACACATAGAGGATTTAATAGCAACTGAGCCGTGGGTTTGATACTAGTGGGACTGACATTTAAGGACCTAAACAGCGCTGCTGAGACTTTCAGAGTGGAATGTTGCAGGCAAAGACAAGATGTACGAGACTGTAACAGGGGACACCTGGAGAAGTAGGAAAGATAAAGGCAGCAGTGGCTAGCATTGGTTAGCTCTAAGAATTTACTACATTAATAGTTTGGTTTGCTTTGCAAAGTCAGCAGTTACACAGGCATTTCTAGTGAACACGTGCAGGGATCAACAAAAAAAATTATTTATATATGGGGCAAGAGCACAATAAAGCCTGATACCATATTTTGTCCATATGTACTTCAGACTTCTCCTTGTTTTGATTTTCACATTTCAATTTAAATCTTGTAATTTCTTTTTCTGCTTTCAGTATCTCTCTGTTGGAAAACTGTATTTTTCAATAATCCTCTTGATGTACAATCAGACAAACTTCTAAAAATTCATTTGGGTGTTTATCCTCTAATGGATAGACATTGGGAGCATACTCATAAGCAGAATCGGTGATCACTGCTGAAAATGCTGATTATTCTGCACACAGCTGTTGCCTGTGACAGAAAGCTGAAGCTACAGCAGAAAAAAAAAAATAAAACCTTAATCTAAATTGTAGATAGACTCTGTGCGTGTGTATTATATGACACATCTTTTTAACTAGAGATCTTTCCAGTCAGCATGAGAGAGCAACTGCAGTATAATACATGGATACTGAGATTGCACTTTGACAAAGCAGCTCACAGGCTAACATAGCCACTCTGTAGGGAGGTGCACATGGGAGTCCAGGGGCCATCAAGTGACCGGAGGCCCTGCATCAGTTCGACACCAGAGAAGGATTACAGCCTGGGACTTCTATGTGGCAGTTTGATGCCCAAATCACTAGCTAGAAGTGTTGATTAGCTGGCTGCAAAAGCACTGTATAGAGTAGTTAATGGATGTGACAGAAGAATATTTTCTTACTCTATATTTCTGTGTTACAGGAAAAAAGCATGTGTTCAAGACCCGTGATGCTTAAAAAAAAAAGAAAATCAGTTCTAGTAGAGTAACCCATAAGTGCATTTAACCTGAAAAGGGCTAAATTACTAAGAGAACAACTAGATGTAACTTACCCTTTTTCCTCAGCGAGTGTCACTCATCTGTATTGGAAGAGTGATGTCTGGAACAACGAGGCTGTTTTTAACTTACCCGCCATAAGGTTTCTTTCTTCTTTTCCACACTTGTGCGTAGTTCAGGTTATGGATAAAAAAGCGTGCAACAACATTCAGAATCTTCTTCCACCAGCATGAGTAACGAAAGGCTTAGGACTCTTCACTACATAAGCTAGAGTTTATACAAGCTGGGTGTGACCTGTGGTTGCCAGTTACTGTTTTTGTAGTAATGTCCTACGTGAGCATCTACTTTATGACTGCTTTAATTGCACAATCTTGAATCTAATTATGTGTATTTAAAAGTGGTGAATGGCTGAGGAAAGATGATAAACAGTATCCTGGTGTGTTAACTACTAAGAGAGGAAAACATCCCAGATTGGATCTAATAAAGGAAATACAGTAGACAGAAGAAACTTAATTTTGGATGGTTTGGTTTGTGTTAGTTTAGATTTTTGGAGACTATGTACAGAGTGATCTAAGTAGATTTGTGGTATATTAGTGTCACTGTTACTCAGTAGCATCATGACTTTGCGCAGCATAAACCACTTTTTTTTTTTAAGGCAGGTCTGCCTGAAGATCTTTCGCATAACTGTGTGAATTCATTCTTGGAAGCATACAGAGTGGTGGTGGTCTCATTGTCTGTTCCTGACATGAGTACCTATAGTATAAATTTCTTATATAAGAAGCAATACGTCCCACTAAGAGGTCATTGTAAAGCATTCACCCATGCATCAGGGATTTCTATTAAGTACAGAGGAGCATTCAATAGCTGCCTCTGCTTTTAGTATTTTTTTCCTTATAGTTTGGTGTTCATCGTACATGTACGTAGTTTCTCTGTAGCTATTTGGATGGCATCTTGAGTTGGGCCCTGGAGGAAGCTACGGAGCTGTTCTGGTGTAAGCCCTGCCCACTCTAATTACAACCACTCTCTTCTCTCCTCTTGAAGCTCCCTCATGCTCTCTCCTCCCTCTTCCTGTGTCACAGCTTATGTAGAAACATGCCCTGCCAATTTGGCCCAAGAGGAGGTTTGCGTGCTGTTCTGAGCTTTCAGTGGACTGTGACTGAGGAGTAAGGGGTGATCCCTTACTTTCCTCACCTCTAGGCTTCTGCATTGTGGTTTTTTGTCTGTCCGTGTTAACAGTTTTGTTTCCACGTTCGTATCAAGATTGCTGGCAACCAAAAGGGCAAATTAATTACCTGCAGCTTAAATTTATTTTTGAAAAAAGGAATCTAAAGTTTTGTTATGATTTCATGTGTATTTTTTTTTCAGTAAGAATTTGCGTCATGTCTGCATGTGTCAGACTGAAATATTATCACCTGTCAGACAGAAGATGTCCATATCAAACTCCTGACAGCTCTGTCCCTCAGAATTTTGGCCTTATTAATTCTGCTTTAAACATTTTATAAGTTGGACAACAAATCTAAACCTTCAGGCTTGGCAGAGAGGTTTGTACCATCGTTGCCTCACATCGTACTTCTGAAGCGTAGCCAGGTGGTTACTGTGCCCTGTCGGTCATCAGCTTTCACAGCAGCCCCTGGAGAGACTACATTGCCTGCGGTAATAGAGAATTCTTAAAGTCCATTTCAGGTGAGATCTGGTACCTGGCAGCATTAGGATCTGGAACCCACAAAAGGCATCTGTGTGCAAGCACTGTGATAAAAGTGTGGAACAGGGGATGCCTGTGAATGAGTTACATAGGGAAGGTCTGAAGACATTTAAATGTGTTCCTTGTCTCCAGTGACCTTGCACTAGTGGGCAAAAAGTGTTAGCTACCTTGGGTTGCTGGACTTCCATATTAATGCAAGACTCCCCCCATGCTTCACGGTGCTTGGGACTCTGCCATGTTACATAGGAATTAAATTACCAGTTTGTATACGTACATGTGTTATCTGCTCTGTGACAGTCCTGTGCCCACAGGCTACAGAAGTACTGTTGTCATGGTCCCTAAACATTACTTTTTCCAGCTTCGTAGGCCTTTTTCCTCCCCTTTCACAGAGTTAGAGTTGTCAGAATACAGAAATTAAATGAACAGTGGAGTAAATGTTCTGCTTTTTAGGTAAGAAGCTTGTGAAGTAAAGGAAAAAGAACTTTCCTCAGTCCTGTGATTTCTCTCATTATTTCCATTACAAAAAAATGATTACAAAAGAATACAGTTACATAAATAGTTTTTATTTATTGCTGACAATTAGAATGTAGTTGAAAAGAGACTGTTAATTATCTGATGGAGAAGTCAAAACCAGGAGCTTAACACAATGAGATTTGTTAAAACAGTGAAACTATTTCTGTAAGGAAGGGTCTTCATTTTTCTAGATAAGAGGACAAAAAAACCCCCCAAACAATTAGAGACTAAATAATTAAGCACTGTGAAAGCTGGAGATATGATGCTATTGCAATGTAGGAGGTCACCAGTTTTTGTGGAATGTTTCTTGCTGTCATCACTGTTCCTATACAGAGGAGAAGGTCTTGCCATGTTAATGCTGAAATAGGATATTGATTCCATCACATTATGCAGGTGCTACTGCAATAGTTACAAATGCCTTAACATGTGAAAATTTGTCACAAGAGAAATCTGCTTGCAGCTGTAAGGGCCCTGTCCTGCGAGGTGTAAATTCAAAATAAATTTTTGATCTCTCCCTCGGTGCCAGTCGTGCCAGACTGAAAAAAAAAAAAAAAAAAAAAAATCAATTCAGGCTTGCATTGTCTTCCCTTGATTCCCAAGAAGCAGAACTGCATGGTAGCTAGGACACCAAAAGTTACTTGAGATCCAGCCTTGGTTTTAGATAATTACTTAGGTTTTAAGGCTTTGTGAAGACTAAGAACTGAGAAAAGATAGTACCATCTTCATTTACTCTTGAATAGACTGATGGAAATGAGAAGTGATACATCATGCCTTCATGTTAGGGCTGGGTAGAAGTTTGGACAGTTAACACAAACTCGGAATAGGAGAACTCTGTCAAAAGCCAGCACTCTGTCTGGTTCCCGCTTGGCTCATATGTGTTTTGGCAATAATACGATTTTTCTAATGGACAAAGTGCTTTGTTTTTTGTCTGCTTTTGGCCTAAATTGGCTTAGTCTTTCACTGGAATAACGTTTTCCATATTTTTATGGATTACTATGTCCAAATATTTCCAGAGCCACAGCAAGTCAGGCTGTTTTATAATAAAACAAGCTTTAGGAAATACAAACTACTCAACACTGAGTTAATCCATAAAGCAGCAGAGTCCAAAGGAAAAAAATAATAGAACATTTTACTCATGTTTTGAAAAGTCATGATTTAAAAAGGCATGGTTTTCTCCTGCTTTGAAGGTGAACAGAGCAATTTTCCTGTTTGGGCTGAAACAAGGGGAGCTATAGCACTGAGTTATTTGTTTGCTTTAGCTCAGACTTATTTTTGTAATATTAGGATACTGTATATAAAAATAGAAACACAAAGACAAGCTGTAGAAGAAATACCAGAGAGACAAAAGAATTTTACATGCCAGTTTGATTTCCCAGGAGAGAAGAATGTTAGCAGTTTTTAGTTGTTAAAGAAGTTCCTACATGGAAAAGAAAAAACCAAACATGATTGAGAAATCATAATATCTCAATATATAGTTGGTGGCATTTTTATTCTCGTAGATAGAAAATATGAAAAAGACTGATCAACCAGGCTTTTTTCTTATTGAGAAACTAGACATGTTATTGGTCATGTTGGAAGCGCTGAGTAAATGCTACAGCTTTCACTTACTGTATCTTGACCTGTTGATTCATCAAAGTCACTAGTAGTACACAGCGGTCCACAGGTTCAGGGAGGGGGTTGGCATATGAGATCTCTAGAGTAACAGCTTTGTTCACTACAACTCGCCGAGGAACCTAAATGACAAAGACACCTTTCTGATCATTCACTGCTTTACACTCTTCTGGAGTCAGATTTCAGTCAAACTGTAAGCAGAACATCTTTCGTATTTGAGGATGAATGAGATGTTGGTAGGAGCAGTGAAATTTAACTGACAGCTGGTATGCCTTTCCTAATACTTGAGGGTGGATTTGGATTAGCTACATAGTTCTGTCAAGCTGTATGCAATAGTTCATGCAAAATTTCAGTGAAATAGAGCCCTGGCCGTATAGACATCTCATTAAACCTGTCTGATCTTTGGATTGCACTTTTTTGGCACCTCATTGATTAGGATTAAAGTGTTAAAACAATATAAACTGGCCCAAACATAGATTAGAAATAAGGGTTTAAGTCTGTATTTTGGGAGCAGGCAAAGTTGTTTAAAGGCAACACAAGCGCTTGCCGATAACTAGACTACAGATGAAATGAAAAGTTCTGTTAATGTAAAACAGTGACACGTGACTGGGAAAGAAAGACTGTAACAGCTGTTCTGAAGAACAGGGGCCAGATTCAGGCAAAGATTCAGAATTGATCCCTTGCATGCTTACTTTCTCCATTTAAGCAGGCAGAATTTTAGAGCAACATCTGAAATTGCAGACTAAATTAATGCATTTATCCCCAAATTCTCATCTTAAGATCTGAGCTTTAGAAAGCCTCCCTAGTTCTTTCTATCTGTTTGGGACATCGGGGGAGAATTGTTTACCTTAATGATAATGTTTGTGTCCTCTAAAGTGATTGTCTTCTCCACCAGCAACTTGACCGCATTCATGTGCATGACTTCACACAAAGCAGTAACTTGAATCCTTTTGTCAGTAGTCAGATATTTTCCGTAGTAAGAATAAGGGATCTTTAACCGGATATGTTTCCCTGGAATTCAGACATATATTTAGGAACCATTACATTCCCAAAGAATGCTAAAGAAAAGAGAGTTATTGCAAGGGTTTTTAAAATTGTTGAACAGAAAAGAAGATAAGACAGCTGGTCTCTTTATATTTCTTCCTTGTGAGACTGGTTGTGTATTTCCCTCTTCTGGTGATCCTTTTCTGCTTTAACTCACTTGACCTTTACAGGTCTGAATGGAGGATTTTGGCCTGAAACTGAGGGGATCTGCTCATCTGCATTTCACTGGATTCTAGTCCCTTTCTATTTCTTATACTTAAAGGTATAAC